TACAAAAATGGGTCCTCAAAGAAGGCTGGGAATTTATGTTGGCTTTGATTCTCCCTCAATTATAAAATATCTTGAGCCAATGACTGGTGATTTATTCACAGCTCGGTTTGCTGACTGTCATTTCGATGAGACAGTATTCCCAGCCTTAGGGGGAGAAAATGAGAAAAAGGACCCATGTACGAAAGAGATTACATGGAATGCAACACGATTATCTTTTCTTGATTCAAGAACAAATGCATGCGAACAAGGAGTGCAAAAGATAATTCATTTACAAAATGTTGCAAATCAATTACCTGACGCATTCACATATTCAAAGAAAGTGACAAAGTCACATATTCCAGCTATGAATGCTCCTGCAGAATTGAAATTCCTTCAGAGAAAAATGAAAAAACTCTTGCAAATGAGTCTTCAATACGCAAAAAGCGTGGCAGACCAATTGGTTCAAAAGATGTAAAACCAAGAAAACTTAAAAGGCAAGAGACAATACTTGAAACAAAAGACATTCATTCTTCAAAGAAAGAAAATGAACGAACCGAGCATGTTGATATAAAAAATAATATCAACGAACAATTTGTTTCAAATGAGGATTTAACCATCTCTGAAGATGCGAATAATTCAGATGAAGATAGAAACGTTGATAATTATGAGATTTCAATAAATTACGTTTCTACGGGATTACAATGGAACAGAAAAGATGATCATGTTGATGATATATTCGCATATGCCATTGCCACAAACATCATGGATGAAAATGATGACATTGAGCTAACTTCAGTTGATGAATGTCGACGTAGACATGATTGGCCAAAATGGAACGAAGCAATTTAGGCAGAATTGAAATCACTTGAAAAACGGAGTGTTTTTGGGCCTATAGTTCCTACGCCAAAAGGCGTGAAACCAGTTGGTTTCAAATGGGTTTTTGTGCATAAGCGCAATGAGAAAAATGAAATTGTGAGATATAAAGCCCGACTCGTTGCCCAAGGCTTTTCTCAAATTCCGGAGATAGATTATGAAGAAACTTATTCCCAGTAGTTGATGCAACTACATTGAGATTTTTGATAGGCATGTCTGTCTTTGAAAAACTTCAAATGCGTTTAATGGATGTAGTGACATCATATTTATATGGATCTCTCGATACTGACATATATATGAAAGTTCCTGGAGGGCTAAAGATGCCTAAGGTTTATAGTTCAAAACCTCGAGAGATGTTTTCCATAAAATTGGAAAAGTCACTATATGGACTAAAACAATCTGGCAGAATGTGGTATAATCGTCTCAGTGAATATCTGCTCAGAGAAGGATACAAAAATGATCCAATTAGTCCATGTGTTTTCATCCGAAGATCTAAATCAGGCTTTGCCATTATTGCAGTATATGTTGATGATTTAAATACCATTGGAACTTCTGATGAAATAGAAAATACTACAAAATATCTCATGAAAGAATTTGAGATGAAAAATCTTGGGAGAACAAAATTCTGTCTTGGTCTTCAAATTGACCATTTGAAAGACGGAATATTCATCCACCAGTCAAATTACACGAAGAAGGTTCTAAAGCGGTTTTATATGGATAAAGCACATCCTCTCACATCCCCGATGGTTGTCCGCTCTCTCAATGTACATGATGATCCATTCCGACCTCGTGAAGATGATGAAGAAATACTCGGTCCAGAAATACCATACTGGAGTGCTATTGGAGCTTTGATGTATCTAGCAAACAACACTCGACCAGATATTGCATTCTCAGTGAACTTGTTAGCCAGACACAGCTCGACCCCGACTAGGAGACATTGGAATGGCATTAAACACATTTTGCGATATCTCAATGGTACCATCGACCTTGGTTTATTCTACCGCAAAGATGCCAAGGCCACTCTTGTTGGATACGCTGATGCAGGATATTTGTCTGATTCGCAAAAAGAAAAATCTCAAACAGGATATGTGTTTACTTTTGGAGATACCGCAATATCATGAAGATCGATGAAACAAACTTTGACTGCCACATCATCAAATCACGCGGAGTTGATAGCTCTCTACGAAACAGGTAGAGAATGTGTATGGTTGCGATCAATGATCCAACATATCCAGAGCGAGTGCGGTATAGAAACAATTACTAGTCATCCGACTCCTATATATGAAGACAACACTGCATGCATTGCTCAAGTGAAAGGAGGTTACATCAAACGAGACCGAACAAAACATATATCACCAAAGTTCTTCTCAACACATGATCTCGAGAAAGATGGAAAGGTTGACATCAAGCAAATCAAGTCGAGCGAGAACCCTGCTGATCTATTTACAAAAGCATTGCCCCCGAAGAAATTTGAAGAACTCGTACACAAGATTAGCATGCGTCGTCTCTGTCAATTATACTAAGCTGAGGGGGAGAATTTTATGAACTGTATTCTTTTTCCCTTGATCAGGTTTTTATCCCACTGGGTTTTTTCTGACAAGGTTTTTAACGAGGCAGTACATAAAATTAGAATGGGTTTCTAAACTATACCCATTTCACGAATACCCATCATCAATTGAAAAATGAACATTCAAGGGGGAGTGTTAAGAAATATATGAATTGTTCATTTATCAATTAATTAGGTCATACTCCATCATAAGTTGCAGGAACAAATTGTCCATCATCATTCATCACCATCAAGTTGCCATTTGTATAGTATGTATACTATTTGTAATAGTGTTAGCACTAAGCCTCTCTATTATAAATGAGAGGCTTAGGATCCATGTAAATTACAATTAAGAACAATAAGAAGAGTGAAGAATCAATAGAGAAGAAATCAGAAATATATCATATTTATCTTCTTAATTTCTGAGTAGTTTTTTTCCTCATTTTATAATAGGGAGGTGTTTTTCCGAATAATTGGGCTCATTTTTCTTTGACGCAACTTGTTTTCCATTTTACTTCTCTCCCAAACACAAGAAAATGAGATAAATGACTTCAAGAAGTCATTTTCTCTTTTTCCAAACGGACCCTAAATTTCTTCAAACACAATCCACAAAAAATTCACTTTATATATACATGTCTTTAATTCATGATAAAACACATATGATTAATCATAAATTCATTTCTATTAGAGCACATATTCAATGGGATTCATCATATAGGGAATTGGGGCTTCCCACGCTTTGAATTTTTTTTAGGAAAAAAGGACGAGTCTCATTCCCGATGGTCTCTCAGACCCGACTTGATGGTCACTAGAAGAAGTAAAATAAGACTTTAATTGCAAATTGGTGACAGAGAGTGGAATGTGCATTTGGTACTCGTAGAAACCCTATGCTAAGAATAATTTCCGCCCAGCGCAGTTGCTAGGATTCGAAATCGGATTTACCTCCTAGGCAGTCTCTGTCTTGCCAACTGCGCGACGCCTACCGGTTATTTTTTTAGAGGTTCGAGCATACATAGAGAGACCGTGTATCGTACTGTCTGGACGCTACCGAGGTACCGTGTACCGGTACCGTAACGGGTATCGTCGGAACCTGGATAATTTTCCACAAACCCGTTTTTTGAACTGTAAAATCCTATTTTTTATACAATTTAACTATGATCAATATGAAAATGATTTTTGGAAATGAATATGGTGTTTTGACCAATCCAAGAACCTTGTGTAATGCATGACGGTAAGCTAGAGTGTTAAAACTCGATGCTAGGCTGCTATATGTTATTGAATACTATGATGATTGTTCTTGATTATTGATTATAATAATTGAATCATGATTAAAAGCAAATGTCCTGATTTAAATAATGATTATAAAAATGATATTGATCTTTAAGGGTATCTAGAAGAACTCTAACATATACCCATGTGACCAATTTAGTTAGGCCTTTCGGGTATGATGCCTGGTGGCTAGGGTCAAAGCGTATGTACGGCATCCACAAACCAAACTTGAGTACCTACTCGTTTAGGGGTACCACTCAACCCGATGGTAACTTGTCTGCGGTTCGGTTTTGAGCGTGATCCATAAGACTCGTAGGATGGGTCATCAATTCTTGTGTTCTGCCTTAAACTAATACTCCCTCCGTCCCTAAATA